GTCACCTAACTGTAGTCTGTCTGGATTTATCCAAACAGACCAGTCCCTTTTCCCCTTCCTCTTCTCTTTCTATACATCTAGTTGTACTTACATTATATTTGAAATATAATTAATCAATTACACACTATAAACCCTTACATTGCCCAATTTAGTGAGCCTTGAGTACTCATCTGAGCACCCAACCCTCACATCCCGGGGGAACAAATTCCAGCCAACAGTTATTAGAAAAAGACCTCAATTATCTCATGATCAAAGCTGGTCAACTTTTGTTGTGTGTTTTTGTTTTTTTTGTTTTTTGTGTTTTCTTTGTTATGTTTCTTTCAATGTGTCATGATATAATTCTTTTTACCAACTGAGCAATCACGTTAGTCAATCATTTTGTGGTGGAAAGGGTTTATTAGTTTTATTTCACTTGATTCATTTTTTCTTGAGAAGTTTTGTAATACAGGTGTTTGTGAGTTGTTGTGGGGGGGGTGTTGTAGACTCACGTGAATTACACGACTGCGGCACAGACTTTCTCACGCTGTTGCTAACAAAACTTTGTCAAATCTTGATTTCAAGATTCCACAACTGTGTGGAATCTTATTATTCTTTTGCTTATGCATTTTATCTCTTTCGTCTATTCACTATAGGTACTAAACTTTACAACTGTGTGGAATCTTATTATTCTTTTGCTTTTGTGTTTTATCTCTTTTGTCTATTCACTATACCCGGGCAAAGACAAGTGCAGATTCCTAGATGTTGGTAATTCATTATTAACCGATGGGAATGTGATTCAATTTGGACTGAAAAATACATGTAATGTTACTGACGGGTCGGATCTCTATTACCTTTCCTTTTGGAAACAACCATGATATCATAGGCTGTTTACCACATCCAAATTAATCACATTGTGTTTACCTCCGTTAAAGATCATCATTATCTTGTACGTCTGATTCTTTTACATCATTTATCAAAGTTTTCGTGCCCGCCCTCCCTCTCCTGGTAAAAATGTTCTTTATTTTCTTTTTGGTTCTTTTTATTATTATTGTAGTGTTTATGAGTATTAGTGTTATTAGGTCGAGAATATTGTTTGTTACTTTTATTGAGTCTTAAGTCCGGTTATTGCTGTCTCCATTGTTTGTTAATCTGGCATGGTTTTATGTTTATGGTTGCGCATTTCTTTTTTAAGTAGGGTTATGTTCTTTTGTTTCATAATTTGTTTAGAACCGCTAGCCACCCCATAGGGGGTCTTTTTGTCTCTTTCAAGTAATTCATAACCCTGGGCTATTCTAGCCTAGGGATTTGCCCACAACCCACTTGTCCTAGTATTTTCAAATACTGAGTATTGTAAGTTTTCATGAATTAAATTTCTGATACAGGAACATCTGCAAGTAGGGCTATGACCCGGCCGAGTCTGCCCAAGGGTTTCCAGAATCAACTCGTTGCCAGGCCCAAGCATGTAGCCCTAACCTAATGATACAGACAAAGGCCCTGTGTCAGGGCCACTCAGGGCCGGGGCCGGCGCTTGAAATCCTGTTAAACAAAGGGTGAAAGGCGAGTTCCAGCCTCTTTCCACCTTTTTACCGTTTGGCTTTTCAAAGTTTCACTCACTGCCCCATTTAATTATCCCCACTCGAGTACCCTTTACCCATACGGTATACCATAGCCCATACCCAAGTTCTTCGATTGCCATGTCTTGTCAAAGTCTTCGAGTCACCAATTTAAACACTATGTCCACCACCTCCAGCACAACTTCGATCACGCCATCTGACTCGGTCTCAGCCGCAGCTAGTGCAGCCAAATCCGAAGATACTGCCACAAACCGTACTTCTTGGGTGTGGCAGTACTTTTCGACAGTCATGCTCCCCGACAAAAGCCTCAAGAACGTCTGCCGTGCCAACAAAGGCTTCATCAACAAGCCTCCAATTCCGGACTTAGAGGCGCCTGTGGTTGTGTGTAATGAGGAGATTGCTATCAATAAGATCTCCAGTACCAGATTGATGGCCCGCCACCTCTCCTGTGCTCATTGTATTGAACCTCTGATCAACACCTCACAACAAACACTTACATCCTTCCCTGCTACTGGTAAGAATTCTAATGTAAGTTTTCTCTTCTATTCTTTTGATGTTTCCTCTTTGTATCCTTGACTGATCACAGTTTTTTTTAGTTTGGACCTCTCAACAGAAAAAACCTCACCAACGCTATCATCTGTCTTATCGTCAATCAAGAGCTCGCAGTATCACTTGTGGACGTGCCGGAGTTCTGCGAGCTTGTATCCTGGATTAACCCTGCTGTTTCGCCTATCCTGTCAAAGCAAACTGCCATCACCAATGGCATCATTGCCCAATTCCGTCTCGCTCAAATTTGTTTGAGTCATCTTTTCTCTTTGGTGGATTTTATCAGCATAACTTGTGATGTGTGGACCTCAGCTCGAAGTGTACCAATGTTGGGAATCACGGCGCACTGGATGAGCGATGATTTTGTTATGAAATCAGTTGTTCTAGGTTGGAAGGAAATCTATGGTTCTCATACTGGTAAAAACATCGCTTCCTTGGTCAAGCACACATTAGATCAATTTAATATCACCGATAAGCTCTACTGTATTACTGCTGACAACACTTCAAATAATATCACCATGGCCCGAGAGCTTCACATTCTCATACCTCACTTCGATCATGAAAAGAATCTCCACGACTGTGTCGCCCACGTTATGATCAATCTAGTTGCCAAAGCCGGTATCTCCATCTTTGACAGCAAGGCTCCCCCCGATCCTCTTAGTGCATTAGATCCTCAACTTCCTCAAGAAAACAAAATTCCTGATGGTACCCTTTCTCTAATCGAACCTACCCCACATCTTGAAGTCCACTCAATCCTAGCTCGAATTCACGGGTTTCACAAACGAGTCCAATTGAGCACTCAGCTCAAACAGGCTCTTGACCAATGTATCGCCACTTCATCACAGCCTTGAAAAGTCGGACTCATCCACGAGGTTTCCACTCAATGGTTGTCTACCTTCTACTCTCTCGAGCGTTTCTTTGAACTCAAGAAGGTCCTTCAGTACTATTGTAACATAAATGAATCTTTGGAGCCTTACCTCCTGACCGAAGACAAATGGATGTTGGTGGGCAGCTTAGTCAACTTTCTCCAACCTCTTGCAATCGTGATCAAGGAAATTGAAGGCAATGACTATCCCACTTTCTCACGAGCAATGCCTGACTATCAATGGCTTGTTGAAAATCTTGAAAAAGTAAGTTTTCCTTTTCTTTTCATATTAATTACTTTATATTTATACAATATCTTTTTACCAAACATAGGCATGGGGCACGCCTGAGTGTACCAACTTGAAGGCAGCAATCCTTCCTATGGTCAAGAAATTGGTCCAATACTCCACATTGGCTTTGAAGAAGCCTGTTTATATATGTGCCCCGATTCTCGACCCTCGCTGAAAGCTCAATGCTGTGACTGCATTTACTTTGGAAGAACTTGCTTTTGAGAAAGACCAACTTATCAATTACTTTACCAAGCAAGCACGTAAATTCAAACTTCCTCAAGATCCTGATATTGAGATTGTTCAATCAGAACCTGTCCTTGATGACAATGATGACCGACCACACCACTTTATCAAACATTGTAAGTTCATTCAACTTGAAGACAAAGTGAAGGAATACCTTCTTGCCCCACTTGTGGATGAGCATACTGATATTGTAGTCTTTTGCCCTGGGGCCTTGCTGCCGGGTCATAGCCCTATCTGCAAGCGTCTCATTGCTACATACATACTCATAAATATCTCTCAGCTCACTCTTGCAAGTTTTTCACTGAAATTTTTGTTGCAACTCTTCATCAGTAAATCAAATAAATTCTTTTATCACCAAGTAGACCAAGATTTCCAACAACAATCTTGAATCATTTCCAGAAGAGTCTGACCCACAAAGAAAGTTGAGAGGATTTAGCACAGCAGGAACGGTTCTGCTGTCAACCAATCTTGACCAGCAACCCCCATCAAAGAAAGGAAAGAAGGCCAAACAAGAGAAGTTAACTCAAGAACTCAAAGTGAAGAGAGTTGTTGTTAAAGGCTACGGTAGAGAAGACATGGGTAGGAAAACTCAAGAAGGACCTACTCAAGACGTGCCGTCAAGAGCTGGAGACGTTACTCAAGTGAATCAAGGGCAGAAGAGAATAACACCTATCACCAACGAGGCAGTGGGAAAAACCCAAGAGACAAACACCACAACCAACGCAAACGGAAATGGTGATTGTGAGAGTTTGTTAGAATACATAGGAACCTATCAACAGGAGGAATCATCAGAAAAAGAAAGTGAATCATGGGCAAGAGTGAGGAAGATCAAGAAGTAACCTGGACTCAAGGAAGAAGGAGTCAAAGAATTCAGAGAACAAGTGGTGGACAAAAGACTCACAGGCCTAGTAGCCAGTCCCAAAGTAGGGAAAGGTAAGCTATAACTTCCATCAATTTTGTTCATCTACTCTGTCTACTCTTTCTTCACTCTTGGAATCTTTCCCTCTGTTGCATGAGCTGCCGGATGTTTGGTTGCAGTTGGGGTGCATCCAGTGACATATCACAAAATACCAAAGCAGACATATCCGTAATGCAAGTCTGAGTCCTGGCCACAAAAAGGGAGAACTGATCTGATGGGGTATGTACCCGGTGTTGTGGCCAGAGGCCCCATAAAGGCTAAAATTCATGAACCTCACTCCATAACAGTGGGAAGACCCTATAGAAAACCTGGATAATGGACTAGGGTGTATGAAATTCCTTTAAAAGCTCAAACTCTTCCACAAAAATCCAACACAGAAAGGAAGAGGAACTTACATGATTTCTCCTGATGATGGCTGTAGGGAAATAAAAGGTTCCCCACAAACCGTCCGCTGGTCCTTCCCAAAAGCAAGCGGCAGCCCTGTTAAAAATACAGGTGGTAATTTAAAATGAAGATTTTGAGAGACACGCTGAACTCACAGCTCAGTATTTGATGTGCTATGAACCTAAGAGCTTGGAAGCACTCATGAGCAAGAGGGAAGCCTGCCCCCAAGGCAAACCCTGTCCCGCACACATCTCCCATCCTCTGTCTGCTGTAATTCATTGCCCGGCACAACCCCCGGTCCCTACTCCTGTCCTACCAAAAGCAATCCCTCCAAAAACTGTGACACTAAGGCCTGTAAGAGGAGCTAAAAGACGTATCCCAGAGGGTAGACCTACATCAGATGACAAGAATGATGGTGAAGACAAAGATGATGTATCATCGGAAGGAAGAGGTGTCGTGGAGAATGGAATTGAGTTTGCCACGGGAAAATTTCCAAGTCATCATTTACCGGAACTCCTAACTGTAATGTTCCTGGGTACGTACATTACAAGAAGGCTACTATACTCAACATACCTTGATCTTAAGGCTTAACATACTATATCTAGTCTGCTCATTTTGATATCATCCTAACTCCTCATGGATTCTTGACTGATCATTGTCACAATCTCCTTTTGGAGTTAGGTGTGTCTCTTATTAGATTCTATTTACTTTCTATTTTGTACTTGAAGGATTCTTGACTGATCATTGTCACAATCTCCTTTTGGAGTTAGTTCGTAATATTATCATACTTCGGTTCTAGAAATCCTTGCACCACATCTTGTGGTGACAATTGTCCAACGCACATTGGAAGATTATAATTCATCTTCTGTATCCTTCCCTGTACCTTATCCTTCAGTGAGGACATACAAAGTCCTTACAACAACCTTCTGGGGGAGTCAGATCCCAAAGATCCAAGGCTATGTTCCCATATCGATGTTCAATAAAACGTCATTGGAAGCAAACAGAGAGGTTCAAAACAAGAAAGTAACCAAGAAAACAAAGAGGGAAGATGAAGATTCTGAAGACAATAAATTTGAAGGACTCAACTATCCAGTGGAACTGAGACTCACCTATGGAGACTAGGTTCCTTGCTTCAACTTGATGCAAGCTTACTTCAGACAATGGTTCAGACACTTTGAATTAGCAAAGAACTTTGACAGCCACAGGAGAAACATGGAGAGACTTAAAGAAGAGATTGATGACAACTGGATGGTGGCCTTACAATACAATGTTGCCATAAGGACCCAAATCTGGACAATACGTGTTGAGAAAGGATGAGTTGGTGATGTGTTAGTCCACCGGAGGAAGGTGGAAGAGCAAGCTTGTAGAAAGGTAGAGAAGGTTAATGAATGGGAGTGTCATGATAACCCACATGCTAAAGGAGGTCAGAGGCAGGATCAGGTTCAAGTGTTGTCAAAAGTGGGAGTAAAAGTGAAAGGCATAGAATAGACAAAGAAAGAAACATTGACCAAACACATCAAACCAGCCAAGGAAGAAAACCATTCAAGTTATTCCAGCAATGCAGACAACAGAGGTGGGTTCCAAGGCAGACAGGGAAGGAATAGAGGCCAATGCTACAGTGGACCCTCCCATCATTCAGACTAAAACAGGGAGGACAATAGATGGTCATGTGGGTGACACTTGCGCAGAAGCAATAGGTGGTCACCAAGTGGCCAAGACAAATGTTTGTGATACCCAGCCAGGAAAAGTGACAGTTGGAACCAATCCCCAAGACGTAATGATTTGTATGCTAGGTGTAGTGACTATAGAATCCAATCAGCGTGCAGTCAAGCCAAGCCAAAAGACACAACAAATACCTCCAAGAGGAAGTGAGTTGACAAAGTCCTTACCATACCACACCATTCAAAAACAAAATGGAGGAGTTCATAACCCAATGTGCTACAGAAAGAGATCACCCTCTAGACCCATATGTGCTCAAGTCTTCCAAAAGAAAGTGAGAGAAACTTATGTGAAGCCCATTTCTTCTTCTTTTCTTTTGTCCCACCCATTTGCCTTGCCCATTGAGTGCCAGACCAGCCTTGAATCCTTGGTCAAAGCCATGTACACCTGATAGCCCAACACTTGCACAATCAGAGGATGAGAATGGCTCAGAGCTCACAGACTTGAGAGATCTTTAGGTATGAAGAGAAAGAAGTATGCAAGCTCAGATGATGAAACTGGTGACTCGGATGATAGTGAGAAACCTCCAGAAGTGTTATCAGAAGGGGAATAACCAAGCAAGAAGCAGAGCTTACAGGTTGAGAAGATTCATAGACCTGAGGATGATTGACCATGGCCGTGTAGGGTAAGTTGCAAGATGAATATTACCTTCATCACTTTGACTTTTGATATAAGAGCCATTGTTGACCATATCTTTTGTATAAAAACAGGGGGTCTCCTTGCTGGATCCTATTGGCCTTTACTGTTGCTTGCAGTGCTTCAATTGGGTCAAGTCGTGTTGGTTGCCTCTGTAAGACTAAGTATTGTACTTCTTTGTTCTGTTCTGTCTTTGCATTGTAGATTGCTAGCTCAAGATTGCCTGAATTCTCGACCTTTTCTAAGTCCTGCAACACTGGTACTCTTTTGTCTAGCTTGTCCAACACCAGTTTGCCAAGTCTTGCAATGCCCCTGGAATTTCACTGAAGTCTAACAAAGAAACTGAATAAAATGTTTTTCATTTTTTCAAAACCTCTCAATATGCGCACTTTGACATGCCACAGTAAAATGGACACTGTGTATCTCATTAAGTTTCACATGAGATTATTACCTTACTAGTGCATATAGATCTTATCACAGTCCTTCCAAGAAACATCAATCAATCTTGTGATTGCTTGTGGCCTCTGGACAGATCTGGAGCTTTCCAGAGTGAACTTTGTATCACAGTATACATATGTAGCACACCCAAGTTGCAACTTGTGTCTGGCCCTGGGGGTGCCATATCCACCGTGTCTGTGTAGGCTTTGCTAGTCGACGAGCGCACACCAACTCCCTTTGAGGCAGAAAGGGAAGTCGTGCGCGCTCGTTGATGAGCAAACACTACCCGGACACGGTGATCCTTTACGTGGCTGCTTGTACAAGTGGTTCTGTAAAAGATACAACACATATAATCCGCCGGCCCCAACTGATGTGTTGTATCTTCTCCGGAAGCACTTGTACATGGTATTCTCCAAAAGTTCCTGCCATGAACTGCTTCATATTCTTCCTAGAACCACCAAACCAATGGAAAACATGCCTACCATTGTACAATCTACAATTGCATATAGAAATATGTCTTGTACTGGAAGGTTGTGGGGGACAAAAATGTGGAGAAGCATTATTGGAAAGTAATATCAAATTTCATTTATATGTATATCAATAGAGCTTCAAAATATCCTAGATTTTAGTCTTGAGTATAGTACAAAAATAGTTCTGTTGTCATACCTCAATAACTCAGTCATTTCAAATCATAAAGGTTAATAGAATAGACTATATATTCTTGCTCTTACAGACCAGGGAGCCACAAATACCTGCAAGTATTACTGTGCTGCTGAACAAAACAACCACATTGCAACATCCCTGAACATCAACAGCCTACATTGCTTTACCCAGTCTGGTGTATACTAATACAGAATTCATCATCAAATTCACAATAATAAATACAATCACAATTCAAGAAAATAATGCTTTAATTTGGATCTTTAATAATCATCATCATCTTCTGTATCATCTTCTAATAATGCTCTTTGTTCAGCTTCATATCTTCCATTAACCATGACTGCTAAATCTAAGTCATCATCTAATGCATGACCTTGTCCACCTACAAATGATAATGCAATAGGTAGAAAAACGAGTGAATGAATCACACCTGAGATCATTAAGATCAGCCACATTCGGAAATAATATATCTATAGAGTGGTTCAAAGGGTGTTCATCTCTCGCTTCAGTGACACAAATTCACTCGGATCTAGATGGCATGAAAGGAGCCACATACCTCTAAGAGCTTAGAACGAGTTAAGCCCAGAACACTGATTCCAATGATCTTGGTTGAGAAGATGCCCGCAAAGACCTGCAGAGTCCATAACGATTAGCAAAGAAGATCGCAAGATCCCTGTTTACTTGGACAAACCACTTACCGATCCTCCCACATCACTCAACGCCAAGCACACTCGCTCATCTCGATCACGTTGACCATGAGGATGAGACTGAGGAAGGCCACCACCATTGGCGCCAACAAAGGCTCGAGCAACATGTGAGCAGAACTCAACCCCGATCCCTACTCCAATTACCAAGTTAACCAAACTGATCGCATTTAAGCTCACGTTCCACATTCCCATGCCTCCCAACATGTTCATCACCATCATACCTACCGTCAGAGCCATTACACCACCAGCCCGAAGCGAACCTAATAGCGTACTTGAGACAACGAAAACAGCAGCAAGCGCAAGGAAGATCACGTTGAAAGAAGTGGATCGAATGTTGAGATATTGTTCAAAGAACACATAGAATATTGAGTATGGATAAACCCTTCCGCCATTCTCAGATGACAAATCCTCTGCAATACGACGAGCAGAGACCATCGCATTGATGTAATCAGCTTGCGCCTTAAGTGGCGTATGAGATGTCCGGAAGTTTGATGCTTCAACTGATCCAGAAGATATAGAGAGTGCGTCATAGTATGCAGCTCGACCTCCCAAGGGGCACGACTCCGTAGTTGGGGATTTTAACCAATGTTGGAGATACCACATAAATTCTTCTCCCTCTGGGAAGCCTTTCATTGTGACATTCCACCCTCCTTCCTTTGAGGCAAAACACGCTTCACAATCTCGCTCTCGGTCACGCTCAGAGCAGAATGTCTTGGGGTCTTTTCGTTTCACTCGACAACACGATTCAAGAGCTGGATTAAGCCACTGAAAGAAATCGTCGATCCATACTGCCGGTGGCAATGCAATGTAAGATGATCCGGATCGTTTTCGTTCGGCCTCAAGGACGTTGGCCAACGATCCATCTTGACAGGTCGAGAAACGTCCGCATAACGCTTGTTGTCCATCACGAGCAGTGACGTTCAGATCCTCGGCAACGAAATAGACCGGTGCTCCTACTTCCAAATATTGATCAAGTGCATCAAAGTATCCAATCAGATGAGAGTTGGGTGGGAGTGCCAATCGTTGATCTACAACAGCCCAAAAAAAGCAAAAATTAGCCATTGGTTTTCTCATCAATTTATACTCAACCCACGTACCCAACCCCAGTTCGATTCTTCTTGCACATATTATCGAAAACACAAATAAGCCGGAGAAAAGACTGATGACAAAGATCTTGATCGGCCGTTTCACTAGGAAGGGGGCATAGATAGTCCTGATGAAGGACGCCAAGTCTCCCTCGCCCGACGCAATGGCCATATCGTGCGTAGATATGTGGGTGCCTAACTTCAAGCAAGGTACACAATCGACTCGATTGGCCTAGTGGAATCCCTCCAAGAGTGTTATCAGTTACTTTGGAATCAATTCAAAAGTCAAAGAAAAGGAAAGACCGAGAAAGCTTACCTCCATGCGATGCATATCAATTGCCATCACACTCACAAACACGGTCATTTGTAAAATCGTATTGATTGCCACTGCTCCAGCAGCATAGATTGCAAAGTTCCGGACTGCTGGCATCCCCACAATCGCACCCAACGCAAAGGCAACCGTCTCGCAAGAAGCACTTAGTAAAACCGAGGGACCGACACGGCTAATTGCCTTCCCAATTCTGACCTCCACCTTTGGTAGACCATCTATTTCACCCTCACTATCATCATCCTCATCAATACGTGCTTCCGATGCATCACCAAAGCCGCCAATTCCACTTCGAGCCAGAGCTTTATAAGCCTTTGCATTTTGGCGACTCAATTCATTCGAGAGCAAAAAGACGTTATCAACTCCGATTGCCAGTACGAGAAAAGGAATGACCTCTGCAATGATCAATGTAGTTTTGATACCAAGCATCGAAAAGAATCCGATAGAAGTCGAGACAGATGCCAACACAATCAAAATGCTCCAGAGTGCCAACATAAACTTGGATTCGACCAACAACTGCCGTTTCAAGGATGGTGATGGCCTTGATGGGAAATGACCATGACGATCTTCTGTTGACCTGAACCGTAAAACATTAGGAATCGCCAATTTGACCAGTGAAGATAACGCTCGGAAGCATGCTGAAAGGATCGCGGAAGCTGAACCACCGAGGTTGATAGCCACATACAAGAACATGGCTACATAACTTAATACTACAATCGGGATATCAGTATTGGTCGATTGATTGATTTCACCTTCGAGTGATATCTCAGTCGACCAGTCCATCTTAAGTCCCACACTAGCAGGCCAACGATCACGTGGGTGAAGAGCATCTTGATTTGAAATTGAATCAAGGTAGGCTTTTAAGACTGTTTCCCATTGTTTAGCTTGTTCGAGTTGGGTCGATTCGAGATAATTGTTGACGACATATGTAATGATTACAGCCTTCGCTCGACTAGCCTCCACGCGTCGATCGGAGGTGGTGTTATGAGGTATACCTCCGAGGACCAGTTGAGGGTTCAAAGGCTGTCCAAATGCTGGTAGACAATCAGTTGGACTTGTAGCACACGCATCAAGACGCTTGGCCCAATTGTCCTCATTGACGCCTCTCAGTGAATTAGAGTAGTATCCCATGATTGATTCAACTACACATTCAGAAGCTGACTTGGGTGGTTGAACAGTCGAGGTGGGTGCAAGACAGACTGAAGTCAAACTGAGTCCATTGGGCGACTTTAGAGCACGAATATCAGCCTCGAATTGGGCTATCCATTTCAGTCGTTCATAGTTCAGAACACTCTCTTCCGCTTGATCCAGTGAGCTGAGGAAGATTTGTTCGGTACGATAGAATGGTCCGAACCTACTCTCAAAATCTTTCTTCTCGATTGCAGATCGACTACCTTCAGAAACCCAAAGTTTGGCCGGTTCTTTTTCTATTTCAAATCGAGACCAACCAGCATTGAGCGCACCACATGCGACGAGACCGATAGCGATGGTGAGATAAGGTTTAGAGGCACATTTGAAACCAAAATGATAGAACAGACGAGAAAAGAGTACGTTGAGTGGGTATGATCGCGGTTGGTGATGATGAGTGGCCATCAACCGTGTATCCGTATCTGAGACCAGCAGTGGTGCGCCTCTTCCTAGTCGATGGGGCGAAAAAAATGAATTGTTGGTGTTGGAAGATGATAGTGGTTGTGATCCTCGGGAAAGAAATCGATGTGCGGTATCAGCCATCGAAGAAGCACCGACCAGAGGATTGAGGACCGGGCGAGAGGATGAAGAGGTATGATGAGCCTGGTCATCAGAACCTTCGCTATCGCTTATATCGGGAGAACCGCCAGAGCTAGGATTGGGTGCGAGTGGGTCATGCATGCTAACACGCTCGTAGCCACTGGGAGTCTCATAACCACTATCAGCGTCACCATTTTGACGGGCAGCAAGTGCGTGTTTTCGAGTACGGATGATGTCCTTCCAGATGATGAAGATCACGGAGCTTGAGAGAGCTAGAGCATATATGAGGATGAGTGAAAAGTCTAAACAATTAACCTGACCTATTCGACATGAGGAGCCGGAAGGAGGAATAAAAGGTGCTGGTGGTGGTGGAAGAGAAGTGCAGACAGATGGACAATCGGCACAAGCACACCGAGCATCGAGAGATTGAGAGTCACATTGAAGTGGATTCGGATTGAGAGGAATGATTGATTGATTTGAATTCAAGAATGTCGAGTAGAACGTTGAAGAGGGTGGTGGTGAGTGTCTCTTGTTATTCTGCTTCTTTGAAGTGTCTTGGATGATGAGGCTCTTAGATATTCTATTCGATTGATCAGGAGTAGGGAAGTTGATTTGAAACGGGCTACCAAGTCCAGGTCGCTCTTGGCCCATGTATCTCAAGAATTCGATCCAAGTTGAAGCGCCACCAGCAAGGAGATCAAGCACGAATCCATTAGTAGCTCCAAATTTGACATCTTTACAACTGTTAAAGAAGGCTAAACCAAATTGAGGATCAACATAAAAGTCAACAGATTTGATAGCTTGATTCGGTTCTCCCGTTTTTGTGTTAGTGACAGTTTGAGTTTTAGTGACGTTGACAAAACTAGATTGTTGAGGCGAACAAGTGAAATGACAATAGAATTGACGGAAATTGTTTCGGCAAGCGGGACAAGAAGAGATGAGTGGTTCAGCTTGAAGTAGTGATTGAGCTAGATTGGTAAGTTGATCTGATGTACAACAAGCGGATTTCAAAGCCGAGAAGCTGGATCCACAAATCGATTGAAGTTGATTTCTTAAGTCAGAAGTAATCTATATATCATTCATAAATGTATTTCCAGTTATAGGTAAGCTTTCAATCAATTCTATCGAGATTGTAAGAGGAGAAGACTAACATTACGAGCTGGTGATTGATCGGGACATGGCAACTCTTGACCAAACATGGACTTTTTTCCACAATTATCATACATTGCGCATTGACCAACTCCATCAAGTTCAGTAACCTCATTCTGCCCATCTTCTAAAGGAATCAATGACATCTTATTCTTGATCGATCCAGCAGAGATGATGTCGACCAGTTTGTAGTCTTGTAAGTTGATCGGTTAAATGGTGAATTCGCAGTTCAATTTTTTAGTAATTTTGAGAGGATGGGTCGAAGTTCAAATTGTTTGTGATAATTTGATATGATCATTGAGGTTTCTTTGCGTATGGATGACTAGAATCAGCCTTTGATGATGTTGGATGTCAGTTCTGCCAAGTTCTGACAAATGGTCGTTCTTGATCACATCACACCACACCTCGGATCGGACTTACCGAGCAATCGGATCGCGTTGCATCAGGAACAGCTCGGGTTCAAGATCCGAATGAGCCCAGTCCTTGACACTTCGCATCGGTCTTGATACCCGGTACTGCGAGAGACTCTTATATCCGATATCACCCTGCTTAATATTAGCATACTTGCATCTTGGTGTGATGGTATTTTGTGTCGTTCATGAATGCAAGCTTGAAGGTGTCAAAACGAAAAATGTTGCTGCTGCTGATCAGATTTCGTAAGCTGATGTCATACAACATTGTAGTCCAAGAATCTAAATCTTATCAAACGAGATCTAAAAAAGAGTCAGTTAGAGTCAGTTGGCTATGTACATTTATTTCATCCCTGAACTTCATCACACCAGTCAACCCTTGACATCTCGCATCCAGATTCCAAACCCAGACTTCAACACTAAAATCAAAATCAGTCTTGTCCACTCTTACTTGATTACTGTCTTCATAAAATACTCAAAAATCTGCTACTTAAGCGCAGGCTCAGTGCTGCCTCTCAGTGCATGTCAATCTGCTCGTTCCGAGACCTGGATGCACCAATTGAGGGGTACGTCTTTTGATGACGCATGAGCTCAAAGAGTATGGCGCGCGTTGATGCGAATGCGAGATTGGTATCCATACTTGCTTTGAATTATGAGCCTACAGCGGCAGATGAGAGTGATCCCTTCGAGATTTTTTTGACAATTGACTGCAGCAGCATACTTCAGCTTGAGGGAATTCGTGATGACTAAGAGTAAGATGAACTTTAGCTCGTTCTTTAATCTTTCTTGTGCAGAATCACCCCTTCCCTCTTCAACTCGAAAGAAAGATGAGAGCTATATAAATCCTACCTTTCGCGTTGGGAATCCGGCTCCTTTTTCCATACCTACCCAAAGCAGTGCACTCTAGGCGACCGTTGCAAACGCTTAACATTCTTTTTATTCCTTCATTTCTTCTTGAGTCCAATAACCAATAATAATTTTCTCCTAAAAATCAAAATACAGTGATCATCGTCATCAACAACCCTTTGCGCTAGCCTCATTCTTTACTCGTCCCTCTTTGATTTACCTGATATATACTTCATCTCTATTCAATCCACTTCAATATGTCTTTAAAAATCTGGATTCCTGTCCTTACTCTACTTCTTAGCGAAGTCAATGTAGCCAATTGTGAAAAAAGGATCTTGTCACCTCGAACAAGTAACTTGACCTTGAGTGCTACCAGAACAAGCATGATATCCGATGTTGAAGAAGGTTTACCTATGCGTATCAGTAGTTTAGATTGTACACCAGAATTAAACGTAGGCCCCTTCACTTTTCTTCTCCTTCTGAATCCCAGCGTGCTAAAGTAATCCTTTTCCAATCACTTTCTCTTTCTTGTAGGCAAACGGTTTCAAAGCGTACCATAATCCAGAAGGTATCGATACTTGTGGTAAGCCTGGGTTTTTCTGCATTGATAATCATCTACCATACCTTTACTAACCTAACCACCTCATCTGATCTCTCTTCCTCATAGTTTGTCCACCCGGAAAAGGTTGGGCGAGGATCAAAGCAATGGCTCATTGTTTAGCTTGTCAAGATGTTCGTCTTGCTCGATTCTCTCTTTGCCTATTCACATTCCCAGATATTCAGAACTTGACGCAATCTTTGGTTTAACAGGATGACCAGCGAGTTGTCAATGGAGAATGCCAATGTCCAAATGTATGTCTTCCAGCCTCCTTTTCCATCATTAAACTCTGACTGATCCTCAGCTTCATCTGATTCTTACTCTCGCAAAGGCAAGAGGTTCATTCATCAACACGAACTTGACACCCGAAGGCCATTGTATCACACCATCTGTTCAGCCATCAGCCTTAGCACGACCAGATTCAAGAGTTCACGATCGTCGACACAATCGAAAAACTTATGCACCTACTTCTAGTTACGGATTGACTCCTAGAAAACCAGCTCCAAAACATTTACAATCATGTTGGAAAAAAGAAAATGATCATCTTTGTCTTGTTGGAAAAGAGTATGAATGTACTAATCATCAAGAATCGATCTCACATTGTGGTCGTTGTAATAATGATGTAAGTTTTTAACCTGTTCACAACATTTCGATTTTCTGACACTCAAGTTTACCATAACTTGATTTTTCTTATTTTGAAAATCAGTGTCGTAAACTTCCAAACGTTGAAGAAGTCAGTTGTGCCAAAGAAAAATGTCGAATTGGTAAGCCGATCCCATTCCACTCATTTGACACATCTTGATTTTCAGACACTAATGTTGTCAATTCATCATCCCTTTCTTTAGTCTCCTGCAAGGCTGGTTACACCCTTCAAAAAACCAAAGCCATTGGACATGAAGATCACAAATTTGAATGTTTACTCAACTAAGCTCTCTGAAGCCTTTACTTGTCAAGAAGAGGATCCTATGTTCACTTATCATTTATTGTTCTGGTTTAAACATGATGGAATGTCCTATTAGATATCATCCTATCAAAAACCTTGTGCTATAAACTTTTCTCTCTCCTGGTGCTTTGAACTCACTCTTTCAAACTTTGGAATATTTTGTTGTTCTTAATCAGAATCTCTATATATAACATATTTACCCCATCCGCGTCACAAAAATATGTTGAACTAATCATCGAAGGAAACCCCATAAATGTACCTACAGGGAGTGCTGAGAAGCAATTACAGTTTCCAAGCTTTCTCACATTTCCTACGCTACGTGTCTGTACGGATCCTTACTCCGTCGTAAGATACATTTAGCTCCTCGCCATTCTATCCAAGCAGCACCCCAAAATTTTCACTGGTGGTGGTTGTGAATTTCAAAGCTCTATATGTTGATATTTCTCCAGAACGAGCGTGAGGAAAAGAACTCGCAAGAGATTCTGCTGTGACGTAGAAATTTTGACCTGGGTAGACTGAATTGTTCGAAGTTCTCATTCAAAGTCGTTGATGACGATGAATAGTATCGATAGCCAGCACATTCCAATATCCACGGTATTTCCAAAACAAACACGAATTTTGAGTTATGATGAGTTATCCGAGTCAAATCTTATGAGAATTTTAATTCTCAAGATTTACAAGTCACCAGTGGTTTGGTGTATTTGACACTCTACCACTCAGTTTTGATTCAGTGAAAGCAAGAAACAAGTAATATTTTATTTTATTTTATTTTTTTTGCATTGCTTAAAGTGTTTTTTGAGGTAATATATATGAAACCAAGAATTTACCATCAAGATGAATCATAACTTCCTGATAGAGAATCTTAGTAATATCTCCTTGAAGCACTTGTTGTTCTACTTTAACAAATCAAACTCCCAATCTCTGCTCACTTTTACTATTAGTGAAGTTGACCTTTAAGAGAACATGATAATTGGAGCTCAGACTTCCAGGTTCTCAGTGTCCAACTCCCGAAAAAAGTAATGAAATGCGAAACTTGCTTATTACTATTACTAATACAACACACATAGATAAAATAATCATATAAGCAGTTTAAAACCCACATATACACACACACACGTCCACAGACCAAACAAAGAGAAAAAAAAGAAGGAAATCTACAGCAAAAAAAAACAACGAGCAACAATATCAACAAACACAAATTAAAAAAAATCAATCGAAGTCTATAATCGGTTTATTTACATCTTTCAAATAATAGTCTCATCTTTAAGAATAGATAGGTTTCGAATGGGAAATGATGAAAAGATAAGATTAAAAAAGACGAAAATAAAAAGTTTGAGATTCGATTGTAAGTAAAGATAAAGATAAAGATCATCATATTAACTAAGAATGTCTATCTAATCACTTGAACTGAGGAAATATAAATGGTCTGCAAATAAAGATAAAAAATGTAGTTTTGTTGAAAAACCAGAGAGAAAGGTGCCAAGGTGGTGAAATGTTCGGAACTGTGTATTTAATCATGGTGCGTGCCTTGCGTGATCGGTTTTGCACTTGTGAATATCTATGAAAAGTTCAGGCGACAGTTAACAGATACAGTAGGATGTCGAGCTGAAGTCCACACATTATGTGCTGCATCCGATGACACGTCATCATGGTGAGGGTTTGGAAGAATTGTAAAACTTGATAGAATGAGTACTAGATCTCCAAAGTTCGAAATCAGATACAAAAAAACAAAACGTACCCAAAAGACTGCGTTCACAAATAAAGAATACGCGATCTTCTCAAGTCGGCTTATTTCTTCTTCCCAATAATGTAGCTTGACCAATATTAAGTTCAAATCCACCAGCTCGCTTTCCACCACGTCCTGTATTTGCCGTGCCTCGATCTCGAGTACCAGCTTGTCCAGAGTAAAGTGCAGCCTCAGCCACTTTCCTATCAGCTCCACCCCATCCCTGGTAGTACTGTTGTGCTTGTTGTGGCTTTGTAGTCTGGCCTTTGACGGACGGTTTGGCTGTTGTCGGTGGCTCCACTTCATTTTCCTCCTCCTCCTCCTCATCTTCTTCATTAAGACCGTGCAACACACCCGCGTTTGGTCCTCCGCCCGCTCCTGCATATCTAGTTCGGCGAGCACCTTCTTCTTCCATACGATGTACAGCATAGGTCACATCAAACGCTTCTCTTAGTTGAGCCACACCAGGTGTACGCATTCCACCAACACCATGAAGGAGGGGCGAGTCTCGAGGTGCATAGTTCATATCCTTGGCTCGTTGAATATGTGGTGCCATGGTAGCTACGTCCTGCTTATTCATATGAGGTAACGGTGCCTTCTCCTAAGAAATGTACCAAGCCGAACAGATTGTAACACGATGAGCTTGACCCGATTATGTTGAAAACTCGAGACAAGTAACTGCCTGACCTTGCACCATGGATGTGCTAAAAACTCATCAATAGTATATCGTTTATCCGGGTCAACACACAAAAGGTGAGTGATGAGGTCTTTGGAGGAAGCACTAATGTCATCCCACCACGGTGATAGAAAGGTGTAATATCCACGCGCAACCTTTTCAGTCAGAACTTGAATCGACTCGTCAAAGAATGGCGGAACTATTAAACGTCGAGAATCACATCAGTCAATAAAATCACGCTACATCAGCCGACTCAAATGTCAAGCAAACACTTACATCCACACAGCAAGGTGTAGAGTACACAACCCATCGCCCACATATCAACACTTTTACTATATCTTTCATCTTTCACAATCTCGGGTGCTGTATAACCTACTGTCCCACATGGAGTAGCCGTCTCCTCGGCCCAAACGATCTTGCTCAATCCAAAATCAGCAATCTTCACTTGTCCGATTCCGCCTCCACCCACTCCTGGCAAGAATTCACCCTCGTCCTCTTTTTCCTCGTCATAAGGACGCTGCTTTGATTGTTTTGAAGGTACGATTGGGATCGACTCAAAGAGCAAGTTTTCAGGTTTGATGTCTCTGTGAACGACTCCCTTCTCCTCGTGTAGATAACGTAGACCACGTGCAACCTGCAAGATGACATGCCGAGCGAGTTCCTGTTTGAACAAAATAGGAAAGCGTTGAGTTCAATGAGAATATCATGCCTCTGCGAAAGAAAATGACCCACCTCTGAAAAATAAGTGAGCTTGACAATTTGATGAAATAATTCACCGCCTTCCATTAACTCGAGTACAAGGAAGTAATGTTCCTTTGATTCTGATATGTTTCCATTGTTGAGTCAGCTTGTGCCAGGACTAGTTTCTGAGCTTGATGATAAAAGACCACATACCTGTGAAGCTGATTAATTTGATGATACTTGGATGGTTCAGAGTCCGCATGATCGAGACTTCTTTCAAGATGTTCGCACGCTGTGTTTCAGAGAGAAAGGTTTCAGAGGGGTATCATCGAAATTTGAGGGTAGGTGGGGGGAAATCGCGGAATCCACAAATCAGGAGAAGAGTTAAAATCATTCGAGTAAAGAAAAGGAAAGTAGAGCCCAAAAGTCAGACCACTCTCTTTGTGTTTCCGTTGTGTTACAACGGTAGTGTCCCACAACGATTGAGAGCTGATTGAGGGGATAAGGAGACAAGGTGGGAAAAGATGGGAGTTGCTAGACTGATCCCTTACCTCAGTCGCACGGGGCTTCTTCTTCAAATCAGCATTCAGATGCTTGCCCTGTTACGACCGTTGATTGTATTGAGAAGGATCAAATCCCATCGAGGTTGAAGTGAGGTTTTCGATGACGATGAATAGAGATGTGAGACAGACGCAGGAAGGAAACCAGAGAGAAAAGGGATTAGAGATCAAGAAAAAACGTAAAGTGAGTATGAGGAGTCGAAAGAAGAGATGAAGGGACGGTTTGAGATGATCGATGTGCTGTACAAAGCATAAATTCCTACTGTGAAGTACCGCAAAGTACGCTGATATCTTCAATTCAAGTGAGATCGTAACATCAAGAGATATCATATACTTTCTCAAACTTTAAGATAATCAAGATTCATATGCATATATGCTGAGGATGAGGATAATGAACCAAGTGTGATTGCAATGAAATATATGCATCTTCCATGTGAAGAAGGAGGAAGAAATCGTAGGAAAGAGAACAGAAAGAAAGAAATATAAAAAGGAAGACTGACCTGATTACGATTAAGTTCGAATTTCCTAACACACTTAATGGCGACTTTTTGATTGGTTCTTCGATCGATTGCTTTATAAACATTTGAGAATGCACCACTTGATGAAGTTGAGAAAACAGATCAGTATGAAGTTGATGGATTGTGATTGAATTAGATTAGAGAGTTGACTGACTCTCCCATTTTTTCCAATAAGACAAAGTGATCAGGTAAACCTTCGTAAGTTGGCATCTTTGACTTTTCTAAACGAGCACGTTCAATGATAGCTTCTGCTTGTTCTCCATGAGAAGCAACTGCGCCACCTCCGATTGAAACAGCAGGACTGGTTGAACCGACAGTAGTAGGAGTAGATTGAGAGACGAGGTTATTGAGAACCGGAGATTTGACAGAGGCTTTGTCAGAAGTTTGGTAGGTTTGATCGATTTGATTTGATATGATTGGAGATTTAGGATCAGGCATAGAGAGAGAGGTAGAGATTAAGACGGGTGAAGAGATGATCAAAGGTTGATTGATTGTTTCGGGTGATTTGATTTTTGAAGGTGAAGTTGAAGGTGAAGTTGATGAAGATGAATCGGGTGGTGGAGGTGATTTGTGTTGTTGTTGAGGGTTGTTGTTGTTGTGATGATGATGATGATGATGACGAATGAAGTTTTTAAAATTTTCAATCACTGGCATCTTTTTGGATGGATTTGGGATTTGAACAACTTAGCAAACCTCGACTGTCAATTGATTTGGTTTATATTTTGAAGTTTTAATTTTTTAATTTTTTAAATTTCGATTCGTGCGACTTTAAAAGTTTTAATTTGTAATTTGATCCTTCAAGCAAACCTCACTTCAACACTTTAAATTCAAAAGCACTTGACGGTTAATCTTCTTTCACTTGCAATCAAAACTTGTTATTAAGAAATCCGATTTGACACCACTCGGAAGAGATCGTTCAATTTAACTGGAAGCTAAAAAGAGGATGTAGAAGCGTGGATCTTGTTGATCGATCTGGATGAGTCTTTAATAATAATTATCTATGTATGAAGATGATCGCTGATGAACTTGAAGAATTGAAAAAGGAGAAGGGAAATCGAGGAAACGATCAAAAATCACCAGAAAGTCAATCGAACAAAAACTGTGATTGGTCAACTTGACAAATCAGGACCAAAGCTCAAACCCTACCAAAGCTCATTGACCTTTTAAAATCTTTGAACCAATCGTTTTTGACGTAGGGGTCTGACCTGGTCTGACAGCTATGGATTCACACTACAAGAAACATAACATTTTCTGGGCAGAAAATTAAATTATTTGTATACAAAAATCTGGAAAGGTCAGAAACAGAGCAAAAAATGTGAAAAAATATGCATCCTGTTCCTTGGTATGAGATCTCCAATCTGCATATTTTTCCGTATTTTTGGGGTTCATATTGGTGAGTGTACTAACAATAAACCCTCATAATCACCAGATTACCACCTGTAACAGATGCTGGAATTTGGCTGATCAGTGCTGAGAGAAAGTTTTGATTACTATAAAACCCCATAACTTTGTCAATTCTGGCTCAAAACACTCGATTTTGGGTGCATTAGAAAGCTGAATTCCTGAACTACAACTTTCGTTTTGACTCAAAATGTGTAGTCCCAATGGCTGACATTCTATTCGATGATATGTGAAATTTGATTTCATTGGGGATATCTTTCTTTGCAGGCCCGCCACGTATTTGGTTCATTTATGAACTATCTTCAGGCAAATACCAGCTTTCCAATGCACTCAAAATCGAGTGTTTTGAGCCAGAATTGACGAAGTTATGGGGTTTTGTAGTAATCAAAATTTTCTCTCAGCATTAAGGGTTCTCAAAGTTGGCCCAGTTTCAAGAAAACCCAGTTGACCCGGTTGCTTTTTGGCAGTAACCTTGTGTATCGAGTTGAATTTTTTGACAGATCACAGCCAAAAAGTCAACTGGGTCAACCGGGTTTTTACAAACCGGGCCTACTTTGAGAACCCCTATTGATCAGCCAAATTCCAGCATCTGTTACAGGTGGTAATCTGGTGATTATGAGGGTTTATTGTTAGTACACTCACCAATATGAACCCCAAAAATACGGAAAAATATGCAGATTGGAGATCTCAAACCAAGGAACAGAATGCATATTTTTTCATATTTTTTGCTCTGTTTCTGACCTTTCCAGATTTTTGTATACAAATAATTTAATTTTCTGCCCAGAAAATGTTATGTTTCTTGTAGTGTCAATTTTCTCCACAAAAGCAAAAAGAGTGGTTGTCTGAGCGTACATATCAATCTCAAAATGGTCCAAAAGACGTGAAAGTTGACCTATAGATGTCAGGAGTGTGAATTTTGTTATATCCTCAATCCTCAAACACTTTTATCATCAATAGCGGTACTCAAAGTTGTGTATACTTTGCCTTGCATAGTTTTTTTGTGTTTTTTCGCAACTACAAACAACTTGGAAAAAGTATATTTCTTGATTGAAGCTCAAAGATATGTACTTTTAAGCCAAAAACATAGTTTTCCCTGGTTGTGTGAAGTTGTGAAGAAAGAAAAGAAAACTATGCACAGCAAAGTATACACAACTTTGAGTACCGTAAATCATCAAGTCAAATTTTCTGTGGGGATTGCACAGCACAGGATCATCTACCAATAATCATGATTGTTGATAAGTACCAAATAATCATCGGCTCAAAAGCCTGATTTTTAAGCAAATAAGGTCCAGGCGCATTAGCGACCACCAAATTGGCCGTTGTTGGTATTTAGAGTGATTTTAGGCTTCAAGATCAGCGCCCCAGTTCGTTCAAGAGCAACATAGTTCGAGAGAGTTTGAGTGACAGCCTGCAGGCTGTCACGCGCTGACCTCTGTAGTTCCATGACCCTTCCAAAGTGTCACTTTCAATGACACTTCGGAGGCTACTGGACCCGAGGGCATCGGATTACATCCATCGTGATCTCTTCGGCCTTTCGGTTTCGATCTCCTCACACCTTCACTCTTTCCTCTTCGTCCTCCCGCCTACACCTGGAGATTCGTTCCATGGAGCCCGAGTCCCTACTCTTCCACCCCAACGGACTCCCAATTCTTAGGTCACCTGCGTTGGCCAACTCGACGCTGATGCTCGTCTGGTGGCACCTCTACGAGATCCTCCAGTACCTGACCCACTTGGAACGACTCGGGGGCGACCCATTGCCGGACTTATCGAACCGCCGTGTGAATGTCGAGACGTGGCACCCGTATATTAGCAAGCTCACAACCAGGTTCTACCCTGACGAGATCCTGGCAATACACCACTGGGGTGGATTTCCTGAATCTATCGTCCTCTCGAACCGCGCTCGAGAAAAAGGCTCTACAGCACTGGCTATCTATATGGCTCGTTTGGCCACTCCTTCTCGCTATTTCGATTTATCTCAAGTTTTTGGCCGCGAGACATCTATCATAGGTCGCATATGCCAATGGGTTCAAGCCTGGATTTATGAAAACTGGGGGAGTCTCTTGAAATGGAGTCCGCGACGCTTTCCTCCGGAAGTACTGGAAGGGTTTGCGGCCAGTTTGGTTGAAGCGAAAGATTGCCCGATGGACAATTGCATCGGTTTTCTCGATGGTCAGTACCATCGCACTCTTTTCTAATCAAACTGAGCTGACTGGTAGCTTCACATCAGGAACGGTGTGGCAAATTGCACGATCGAAATATAATCAACGGTTGTTCTATAATGGTCATAAGAGGGTTCACAGCCTGAAATACCAGGCTGTCGTGACCCCTGAGTGAGCGTTTTGTCTCAGCCTACATGGCCTTTCCAATGATAGATTACTGATCTACGATTGATAATCACGCTGCTATTTAGTGGAATTACAGCGGATCTCACCAAGGCGTATATTGGATCTCGACACGATACGGCGATCTTGCGGTTATCGGGGCTCAGTGAAGTATTAGAAGAGCACGCCAAAGGGTTCGGTGGCCGCCAAATGATGCTTTATGGTGACCAGGGTTATCGGAACTCGACGGTCATGCTGACCCCTTACCCTGGTCTCAATCTGGGTCCCGATCAAGCGAGGTTCAATCGGGTCATGGCAAGCGTTTGGATTGCTGTAGAACACAAGTTCGGACGTCTGAGGAACATCTTCCGGATGACGCAGTATAAGGGTATGTGCTCATACCCTTGTTGATTCATGTTGGGTGATTGATTTATCAATCTGACTGGTCCTTCGCGTCTGGGAACATTCAAACAGATAATTTGAGGTTTTATGTGAATGAACTGAACAAATTTTACCATTGCGCTGTCATTATCAAAAACCTTTTGATTTGCTGTGGTCGTGGTCCACTTGGCGGGGTAGCTCCTCCTCCATCACTGGAGGCATATTTGGGGGGGGCAATAATTATGAAATGTTATTTTCGTTGTCTTTTTGTTTTTTGTTTTTTTGGCGTGCAATTTGTATACATATGTATCTGTCGTGAAGACATCGCAATTGAAAGGGTTCTGATACGTGACAAGTGAAATACAAGTAAAGTGAAGTGAAGTGAAATGCAAGCAGTTCTTGCGGAACTAATAATAGGTTACTCTGACCTGGGTGGTTACTAAGACGTTGGACTTAAGACTTTGGATTCCTCGCGTGGAAAGTCTTTATGCTCGCTTTATGCTCACTTGAACTTGATCTGTCTCGTGGGAAATGGTTATTTCACACAAGACAGGCTGGATATCACATGGGATCAATGGGCCTGCATTTACATTTGATCAAAAGCAATGATGAAGAGATGACTTATTACGCTGGGTCAACATCTTCAAGTGATTCAAGCAAGGAAGTGCTACGATGATACAAATTATGGGACAGTATTTTCATTCAGGCTCAGGCAGGAACGGGGTTTTGGCCATACGGAGATGCCAACTTTGCTTTTGTGACAATAGAGACGGAGATACACATGGAAATCATAATGAAATAAGACATTTGGCACATTGGCCTGTTTGAGTTGTGAAGACCGACGAAGGGAACGAAGGCTGTGGAGCGAGATTTGGGGTTAACCAAACGGGAGATGAATACATACACACATTGGGAGCGAGACATACCTTTGGGATATCAGCTGAAAGCGGGAGCTGGGGGCTGTCGCTCTGAGACAAGCAACTTGAGCATCGAGCCCATGTCGGCAAGCGTCCCCTGCACGCTGGCCATTGAACACTTGAGTTCGTCAACCAATTGATCCTTCTTATCCGCAAGACTGCGAGCAGCGAGGAGTTCTTCTCGTCGGATTTCGAGAGTCTTGCGGGCATTCCGAGAATCAAGGTCCAAACGAGCTTGAGATTGGGCTAACTCCCGCTCACGTTGTTCATTCATGACAGTGACTTGCTCCTGGTGTCTCTCCAGGGCCACCGCAGTGAGCTCATTAGCGCGTTCCGCGGCCTGACTACTTTTCATGGTCACATTCACGATTTGTGATGCACTCCCATCACCTTGGATTTTCCTTGTGATCCCTTCTCGCAACGCACGCAACGTCCTGGGGGTTCGCTGATGGTCGTCATCGGAGGCTTCCTCATGCTCATCTTCATCGTTCAGACCGGTGCGAGGAGGTGCCAAATGAGGACGGGACGCACAGGCGTCCCGTAGATCATTCGCTCGGGCTATCGCACTGGCCGCCGCGTCTTTCGCTGCCTTGGCCTGCTCAGCGTTTACATTCATCTCCTAGGTGAATGGCAACACCCAAAGTCAGCTTGAGGTCAGACAACCACAAAGGGATGAGGAGCTGAGGGACTTGCCTTCTCTCGTCTGACCAATTCAGTCATCATCTCCCGCAAATCCCCGTCGTCTTCCTGGGTGCCACTCGCCCTCGCCGAGGTAGCTTCAGCCCGTTTTAACCACGTCTTGAGGGTCTTGAACCTCGCCTTCAACGCTTGAGTATTTATAACGGCGGAAAGGTTGGCAAATCGTTCCGCCGTGTCGGGATTGCTCTGTGGAAGGATTCGCGATTAGAGATCCCATTGCCAAGTAATAGCTGGGTGAGTGTGAGTAGAACCAACTGACCTTGATGTGGTCAGTACATGCACGGAACCGCTCAATTGACTCCTTTTTCCCGGCGGCAAAATGGTCAAAAGATTCCAGATGGGAAAGCCAGAGAACGTCCAGGGGCCCAGGATCACCCCAGCGCATACAATTCGAGCTTGATTTGGCATCCGACTTACGATTCGTTGGGGAAGTGTCTTCGGGGGCAAGGTCTGGCGGTACGGCGGTGGTTTTTGCGGTGTTGATTGGGGAAATCAACGCAGTTGAGGTCAAAGCCGGTGTATGGACCTGCTTCGAGGCCGGGATGTTGTCCCCAGAAGAAGCATTGGAACCGGGGGACGTGAGACGTGGGAACGGGTGCCGACGTGGCGCGGGTGTCACGATGACGGCCGTCGAGAGAACCGGGGGATCCTGATGGCGCGGCCCTGAAGATCGGTGGGTGGATCCCATCGAGGGGCGATTGGCTGAGCGTTTTCCGGCCTTTAATCGAAAGTGACGAAGTGGTGGATGGTCAACGTCCTCCTCCAGCTCGTCAAGGCCGTCGTCTATCGAGTTGAGACGGGGACGTGTCAACGGTAGGGAATCACCGCGATGCTAGACAGGTGAACCTTTGCGCACGAGGCTTTGCGCGGTTGAGGCACTCGTACTTCCCGAGGCAGGCGTTGGGGTGGTTGGAGTATTTGAACTACCAGAAGAAGTGGGTTCAGCGCCCTTTCGGGCCAAAAGCAATCGCTCGACTGGGTGCAGGGATCCTGGTCAGTTTGAATTATACCTGAATTCCAAAGGGTCCATAGGTTCCAAAACCTACCTGAACTACCTGGCGTTTTTTCATCCTCATCGGAATCCACAAGTAAATGCCGAAGGCATTCATCCTCCCCTGCAGACAAGTCACTGGTGGCTTGTTTGCAGACATGCACGTTGAACCTCGCCGAGGCGTGTGCCTCGCGAGCTGGATTTGCACCGTCCCTGCACCATGGGAGAGGGTCTGAACGGTGGTCCAGACCGTTCAGCTGGCGCGCTGCATTACATACCCCATTAAACGTGACCGCGAGGCGGTCGTCACTTATTACTCGGCGAAAACGCCAGTCTTGCATGCTGTGGTAGTCGGCTTGGGACCCCCAAGGAGGATGCCCTAGGTCGTGGGAGTAGGACACCCGTCCGTCGGGCCTAAGGGGAATCAACCAACCCGAGCACCAGGTCAACTATGATCACAGACCCTCATCGAACGAGCACGGCCAAGTGACTTACGTAACGGCATTGGGCGCCCACACGCCTCCCGTAGGCAACTGACCCGGGGTGATTGCGACCGGTCTCACGTTCTCTGCCGGAGTAGGAGGGACCTGCGATGGCTATACGCACTCAAACGGGTCAGTGATGGTTTTTGGAGTTGACTTCAGAAAGATACAGACTCGATTACTGACCAGACTGAGTTGATTCCTTTGAACCGAATGGCCGCCCTGACCTCGGGGGCTTACGCCGGAGGGCTGTTGCCCACGTTGATTTGGGCGACCCAGGAGCTGATAGCGTAAGGCATGCGGTTACCGGTCAGCACAAGAATGACGGAGTCACACACCGTCCACCCAACCAAGGCCAACTTACCGGTGTTAACGGCCGGACATGCTCAGCCTGCAGCGAGCCAAACATGACCGGATTAGGCAGAGGACGTGCCTCCACTCGCGTCTGGCCACCTTCAGGAATCGTCGACCACGACGGAGGGGAGGGGTGCATGGCACGCGGGCCGGCGGTAGGTGCCTACCCGAGGTCATGAGCATCTAGACCCGGTAGGAAAAAACAAGGAGAACCGTACAAAATTCCTCACCTGTTTGGGCAAACTCTTCGAGAGGTTCAGGCCGGTAGTTGGGGACCAGTTGGCTTGGGACATGTCTGGAAATTGTGAAACCCCCATTGAAACCAAGGGTCAGCCCTCATCGTGATGCAACATGATAGCATGGGAACCTGCAAATACATACTGGCTTTCTTTTATCAAGAATTTATTAGAAACAACAATTAATTGGAGGTGGCTAAGATACTCGAAATTAGCAAACAGCGCCAAATGCAGGGTCACAACATAAGAAACATGCCCACCGAAATAGATGTAAAGATGATTATGGGACCACCAACGCATCGAGGTAGCATATACATCAGGCATATATACCAGAGAGGGGGAGGCCTGTTACCTGACCTTTCACACTTTCGTGACCGCCAAGGGTTTGACCACGCATTGGCGAATCCCATAACTTTGGGCTCTGGTTTCTCGTCACAAAGGTGCTGCGAAGGCTCAAAAAAAGAGAGAGGTGCAAGACAGTCGACTATCATATTGGATGAAGGCTGAAAATCCCTCTGGTACGTCCTTGCATAACCAGGAAAATAAAAGTTTAGAAACACGACTTTCTATTTGTTGGAAATCATTTCTGGTTATCTTACATGGAAGCAACATCAAGGAAGATGTGCATTTGATTCCGTTTGCATAGGTGTTTATGATGTTGGGACTCAATTGAACTATGGGCGGCTTGACAACAAACAACTGCCCATCATGTCAATTCGAAGGCGCAGCACGTCTCAAAGTCATAAATAAGACCCATATGAGACGTAAAACTCGAAAAATCATGAAAAAGGGGGTTACATATTGTTTATTCGTAGAATCGAGGGCCGCGAATCTGCGCCTGGACTCTAATATGTAAAGGAAAGTGTTTGGCTTTTTTGCTCAAAACACCTCAAAACATTTTTTCTCAAAAGTGGAGGTACATACATACATATACACAGCGCCCATCTACTAGGCTCTGGCAGGCCAGAGACTACCACTGCCTTCATGGGGGCTTCATGAAAACTCCAGAAAGATTTTGAGCAGACTTCAATATATTTTCAATAACACTTCCATGTAGCTTCAGATGGGCATGAGATCCAAGACAAGTAACATGATTCATTTTATGCAGGAGATGACACTAGCCAGCTCTGATATGAATGGTCCCATTTAACTTTTTTTTCTTCCACTCTCAATTTGTCACATATAGTCTGCACTTGGTCATCTCAAAATTCAAATCAATCAATCAACCAATACAATAACAGATGACAAATGACAATACTGACAAAAGAGTCATCATTTCTCTGGAATCAGTTTCTGGATCATTTGGCAATTGGTCACCTGTGCTACTCATGGTGGCCTGGGGGCCTGAATTTGCATATTTGATTTGGCCCAGGGCGGAAAAAACTTGATCAGGAGCACTGTGGGTGGCCATACTCGGCGCTGAGCTACCCCACTGGGATGCTCCCCACTCCGTCAAAACAAAAACATAACTGTACAAGTATATTGGTGCACCAATTCAATTTTGAGCCCTTTGTTTGACAAGAAGGGTGGTGGGTGGTGTAGAACTTAAAGCTGAACAAGAGCTGTACAGAGCTTAAAGAGTGATAATCTACTAATATAACTAACTAGTAGAAGTTGCCTAAGACTGCCTCTTTGAAAGAATCAACACGGGGTTTTGCTGAGTTCTTTGGGATAAGGCACCAGAGAAATTGTTTTCAATACTTAATTCAAGTATTATTCCCGTGAGTTTTTTAGGATAAAAGATATCTCAACACTGCTTTAGTGTTATTCCAATCTGAGCACAACAAAACAAACTTTTAATTACTAGCAAAGCAACAATCAATTAGATTGTTATTCCAAAGAAGACTTGTAGTCTTATCACATGTAAAGAAATCTCTCCTTTGATATAAAGGGTTATTTAGTGAACTTAGCACTGCTAAAGTAATTTAATAATGATTAAAAACACTCTAACAAAATTATAAGATGAGTAAAAAGGGGAACAAAGGCCTGTAAAATCCCTAACAATAGTATATAACACTTCCACAATCCTCAATAATGGTCAACAGCCTCCAAAAACCTTCAAAAACCGTCAAAAATTAACAAAAATCCTCCAATGTAACCATATGATGTCATGAATATTATTGTTTGTAATGATCCAAGGCGTCAAACGTAAACTCACTTGATCTTGTCTATTAAATACTCTCCTAATTCCAATGGTGATGCCGTATTTGAGGTGGAATTGAAATGCATGTTGAATTCTTGATTGGTAAGTTTAGGAGGTAATCCTGACAACGTGCAATAAAATGACATGTGCTTGTTCCATTTCTTTGACACATTCCCAGATGTATCATCGGAATACAAGGTTATTGGAACATGTCATATGACTTTTCCATTAGCTTGTGTTTGCCAAGGGTTTGGGAGATCAACTTGAAATGCTTTGTCTAAAGTATTACCTGAAAATGCAAATTCATGTTTTCAGCCCATTATTGCAATGGAATTGGACACAGTTTAATGAAATTTTACCACTGCTTTTCAACACCCCACAATCCTTCAGTAATCTACCATCATCCAACACTATCTCAGTATAACACCTCCTGAAATCCTTCACTTCAACAGTTCTGTATCTATCTGATTCAAATTCAGGTTCATCTAGCATCTGTATTAATATATCACCAGTATCTTTATCTTTTGAGCTATCTATTCTTAAACACTTTGCCATGATACCTTTCTCTTTTGGAAAGAAAAAGATTGGTGCTACAATACATCCATCTGAAAGTTGAGCCGGCTCATATATGTAGTAATGGCTATATTTATATTCAATCATCTGCACTCTAAGTTTCTTTGACAACCCAGCTCTCCACTTCCATGATTGTGATAGCCGATTCACATTACCGGTATTAGACAACTCAGGAATGCACATCAAGTGTGGCTGTACTATAGGATTAGCTAAATCCTGTAAGTAGGCATATGTAATCATTTATGGATCAATAACTCTTTCCATTGTTTAACTTAAGGAGATCAGAAAACAATAACTACTCACCTGCGCCACAATTTCTTGAATGTCCAAGCTAAAGCAAGGATTGCCAAGGGGGCTTGTATTCTGTACAACGTTGAGTCCCAATTGTTTGTGAAGATCATTACGAATTTTACAAACTGATGCCCAGTTGGGTATATTAATCCCACCTATCTTCACTATCACTCGAGTTATCTCATAGTCTTGACGGGATGTCGTCCTTCTCACTGAACCCATGAACAACAGACCCATAAGATGCTAGAGTTAGATTGCAGAGTCAGCATCATCATGTAAATCATTGTAATCAAAGCAAGTTAATTACCTCTTTCTTTTCAAAAGGATACCATTTGTTTACTTCTTCATAATCATCATTTTCCAAAGCGAGAGGTATCTCCTCTATCTCCTCATCATCATCTTCACTGTTGATGCTGTCGTGGTCGTCATCATCAGGAGGTGCAAGGAAGTTTTGCCAGTTGAAAGGTCTTATATCCTCTTTGTCAGATTTGTTTCTGTTTGGACTGGCAGCCTGATCTTGTAAAGCCTGAATCCAAGCTGTCATATCAACTCCATTGGCCTCATCAATTTTGTTTGCTGGTCCTGCATCAGGCACATGAATCTCGTCCGCAAGTGCATCCCATCCCACATTGTCTGCCACCATCCTACGATCTTCAGCAGTTAAACCGGATACTTGAATATTCCTTTGGAATCAGCTTGGCTCATTTCTTTGCGGTAGAGATTACGTGTGCTACAGAAGAGGGCCCGGGGGCCTGAGATTGCATGATTTTTTGGCCCGGGGCTGGAGATTGTGAGAAGAGCACTGAGGGTGGCCCTGACTGGCGCTTGACCTTCCACTGGGAGGTCCCCCGCTCTTAGAGAGAATGAAATGAACAACCCGTTTTGGCTAAGAAAATGAAATAAACTGTGCACCACGTAAAACTTAACCCAGTCCTGTTTGCAGGAGGGTGGTGGGCGGGAAACAAAAATTATTTAAATGACGCTAGACTGATAGATAAAGAAAATAGGAAAATAGATAAATAACAACGAGATTGAAAATAACAGTATAAGTTATTTGATTATTGATGATTTATTTTTGGAGTTTTGCTGAGTGAGGAAAAAGTAACACACTATTTGCTGAACAGGAAAGAGAGAGGGAGACTCGCAATACAAAGTGGAAGTGAGAGAAAGATCTGGACTGTCTTGTTGGTGGCACGTGTTGATACCCTAATGAGTATCACCAATACTCAACACTTTCTCCTCATCCTAAGCAATCAGCGCTCTTGCTCGACTGCTGAGCTGCTGCACGTTCATCTTGTAAGAATCAGTTTCTAATCTATGTTCAGTTCAGAAACTTGTATATATACATCATATATTGTTGTGCTTCATCTTGATTTTCATTATCATAAAATGCAATTCGCAATAAACTAATATCTATTTATATACATCTTACGTCCTGAGACAACTGTCTCTTTATTCTCATTTCATAAATCCTCCAACTAAGTGACACTTAGTAGGAATTATTCATTTCAATCACATTCCACGACCTTCTGTCTCATTAGGTTATGAGCCCAGCGCTCTAAACGCGCATCCACTACATACTACTTCCCTTTGTCGATCAAAGGCACTATTATCATCTATCGCAATCCAACTAAAACCACTTCATGACGGAAGCATCCGATTCTAAACCACCTGTCCAACAGTCTGATATCAATATGTCAGCATCGACGACTGGAACTACCTCTTTTAGCACCTCAGCCCTTGCCAATATTCCCAAACTCGAGATGGGAAACATCTATGCTTGGAAGACATCACTAAAAATATATCTAAAAATGAATGGGCTGTACGAGTTTATTGAAGAAAATTTAACCAGACCAACCAATCCTCAAGAACGTAATCGTTTCGATATGAGACAAGCCGCAACTCTGCATGCGATACGAAATACTGTCGACTCTGCAAATCGTTCTTTGATTGAATCTCTTGAAGACCCCAAGTTGGCTTTTGAAACACTTGTAGCTCAACATGGTTCCGACAATGGGATTGTAACAGCAAATACCTTAACAGAACTATTCAGTTTAAAGTATAATAGCTCAATCAGCATTACAAACTATCTCGCGCAAGTCCAAGATCTCCATTCCAAAATTCGTGACTTGACATCTGGAGACAAAGATTTACAATTATCAGACAGACTCTTCGCCATATTATTAGTCAACAGCCTTCCTCGCAATGATTTCGGACTTATTATTCAACACTTTTTGTCGAACATCAAAATGATCTCTACAAGCGACGTGTGTGCTCGACTTCGACTTGAAGCCAGCTCCAACAATAACAGCGAAGAAAAATTTAAGGAAGTCTATGCTGTTAAGACAAAGAAAAATCCCAAAATTGACAACAGACGAGTAGGAAAACTATCAAAAGATTTATGTCACATTCATTTGAATTCAAAACATACTAATGAACAGTGCCACACGCAAAAGAAGAACAACAGCAAGGAATCCAGTTCTCTATCTACTGAAGAGATGGCAAAACGATATCAAGCATTGATGGCTACTTCGAGCCAACCTACTCCAACCACCTCGAACTCAGCCTCTGCTCATGTAGCTATTGATGATTCCTCTACAAATGATTTTATTACATATTCTGCTTACAATGCTTCGACCAGATTAACCAAAACCACAAACTTCCTGATTGATAGTGGCGCCAACACACATATTACGAGTCATGCAAATCTACTTTCCAACATACACTCCATTCCCTATGTCAACATATCCGGCATAGGAGGACACGATAAACAAGTCTCTGCGAAGCTAGCGGGTACTGCATACATAAAAGGATCCACTTTATCCGGGGAACCTAGACTCATTGCAATTGAAGATGTACTCTTGATACCAGATGCTGGAGTCAACATTATTTTGGTATCTTCCATGATGAAAGATGGAGCAGTTTTATCTAGCAACAAATCCACTCTCATGCTTAAAAATCATATAAGAGATTACATCATCACTGGTCAAGAAACAGATGGTCTATTCTTAGTACAGGCACGTCAATCTCAAAATCTCTTTGCTGCTCCTGCAACTATCCCCGCTGACGTCTGGCACCGACGCTATGGGCATTTAAATTACAGATCACTATCTAAAGTCTCCCCATCCTCTTCAAAGAAAATCGATTGTGAACCCTGTTCTTTATCAAAAGCCCATCGACTCCCATTTTCATCTCACTTTCCAAAGTCCGATATTCCTCTATTTCGTATTCACAGTGATGTAATAGGACCACTACCCTCTCCTTCTCTAGGCGGTGGAAAATATATTGTTTCCTTTATTGATGATGCCACTAGATACACTTGTATAAAAATCATGCGATCCAAATCTGAAGTTTTCACACACTTTGTACAATCTGTAAATGAATCCAAAAGATATCAAAACAAGAAAGTTGTCATTTTTAAATCAGACCGTGGAGGTGAATATACCTCAAACCAGTTCTCTCAATACCTTTCACAACAGGGTATAACTTTTGAAAGAGCACCTGCAGAAACTCCTGAGCAGAATTCTGTATCTGAACGATATGGTCAATCACTCCTTGAAAGAACTAGATCAATAATGATTGATGCCAGTATTCCCAATTTCCTCTGGGGAGAAATTGTCATGTCAGTCTCTTTTATTCTCAATATATCACCAAATGCATCCATCGAGATGGAAACACCTCAAGAACTATGGAACACTGGCATCTCTGGAGCACACAAAACCAACAATGAATTTCTTCGAGCTATAGGTTGTGCTGTGTACCCACTTCTAAAAACATCTGAATACACTAAACTTTCTGCACGCTCTAAACTATGTGTTCATGTAGGATACAAAAAAGGCGCAAGGGTGTATCGTTTGTGGGATATCAAAGGTAGAAAAATAATTATATCACGTAACGTAATATTCAACGAGCGATTATTCCCATTCAAAAACAATACAAATGTACCAATTGAAGTACCAGATACTAACAATTTTAATTTCCCTCTGAGTCTATTTTCTGAACACCAAACTACACCAGAAAAAGATACTGACCAATCACAGAACCATGAATCAGAGATCACATCAACAAATGAAGAAACGAATATGTCAACTATCCCAAGAATCCCAACTATTCCTCCTGCACCTTTTTTCCCTTCAGTCCCATCTTTTCCGCCATCATCAACATTTTCTTTCCCAAATGCACCACGAAAATCTAATACACCAATTATACAACCTATTCTCATTGAAAACAACCACACATCTACAAACTCATCTCCGTTCATATCCCCTGTACAACTAACACCAATTTCGCCAAATTTCTCAGAGTTTTCAACATCCGACTATCCAACAAATCCACCACTACACTCTGATGATGTAATAGAATTTACTCCCAAAACTCTCATCCCACTCTCAAAATCAATACATGCTCCTAAAAATCAACTATCAATACCAGAAGATACAGAAAACAGATCCGAACCTGGAATCAGAACATCTCCTACACAAGAAAAAGAAAATCAAAGTCAAACATCATTGGATTCAAAATTAGAAAAACAAAAACAAAAACAACTAGAACATCAAAAAGAACTAGAAATGAAATTAGAAAAAGTAAAAGTAAAGCAAAAAGAATTAGAAAAAGCAAAACAAATCAAACATCAAAAAGAATCAGAGTCAAGATTAGAAAAAGAAAAGCAAATAGAAATAGAAAAAGCAAAGCAAATCAAATATCAAAAAGAATTAGAGTTAAGATTAGAAAAAGAAAAACAAAAACAGATCCAAAAACAAAAAGAATTAGAAGCAAAGTTGGAAGAAGCAAAGCAAAAACAGATCATACATGAAAAAGAATTGCAATTACAATTAGAAAAAGATAAAGAAACAACAAGAATAATAGAACAAGAAAAAGAGAAAGAAAAAGAAAAAGAGAAAGAAACCCGCAAAATAATAATCAAGATAAAAAGACCAAAAGATAACAATATCAATGTAACTCAAAACAATAAAGAAAAAGAAATCCTTGAAAAGAAGAATGAGACAAATACAAATACTGAAGATTCAATTCCTACTTCAGAAGACCAACACGGAACAGGTAACAATACATCAAATTTTTCTGAGAACCCTCAAGTACAATCCTCCAACAAACACCAACCAAAAATCATTCCCCATCCTACCTCTCAGCGACCTGCACGTGATCAAAAACCTCCTCTACGCTACGGCAACTTAACAATCTATGCTGCAAAAAGAAGTACAGACTGCCCATCATATGCTGAAGCAATGAGAGGAAGCAAACGCAAAAACTGGATCAAAGCCATGGAAAGCGAATTCAACTCACTGACCTCTCACAATGTTGGAGAACTAGTCGATGCTCCCTCAGAAGCCAATGTTATAGGAGGTATGTGGCGTCTGAAAAGGAAACACGACGAACACGGAAATATCATCAAATACAAAGCTAGATGGGTAGCTCTAGGAAATCATCAAATATGGGGTGTTGACTACGAAAAAACTTTTGCATCTGTTGTCCAATCAGATACCATGAATATGCTGTTCTCTCTTTGTGCTTCTGAAGATTGGGAAATGGAACAATTCGACATATGTACCGCCTTCCTCAATGGAAAGAACAAGATGCCTGTTTACACAAGACAAGTTCAAGGATTCTATAACCCGAGCTCTCCGA